TCTATAACAAACGTCTCACGAGGGCAACAATATTCTGTCCGCATACATTCAATTACTCATCACCTACACATTGTCCCGTCACGTTGTCACCATCTTATATATACCAGACTACCCTATATCTAGTAAATGCTAGGGCATTCACGAAGGAACAGGATATTTCTAGAAACGTGGCGTGACTAGTGTCATGCCACTCGTTCTCTCGAACCTTCGTGAATTGTCGGGAGATTACTAGATATAGTGTTAGTCTTGTATATATATATATAAGACGGTCACAACGTGACGGGATATAATGTGTGTAGGTAGTGAGTAATTGAACTGCAGTCAGAAAGTATTGTTGAAGTTAACGTTCGTTGTTATAGCGTTTGTTATAGAGCGACTGTTGAAAATAAGTGTATCGGTAAAGTTATATTCAGAAAGAATAAACCACTTTTATTAAGAAAGGACTTGTGTCGCTAAAGTTTAGTCGGAACAAAGTTACGGAAAATCAACTAACGAACGGAGACGTAACAATGTATATACAGAGAGATTTACAGTCAGCCAATTTTGATTTCATATTTTCATCATATTGTGACTTTAAGCGAAAATTTTTTAACAAATTAACGTTTTAAGAACACTGACATAAATAGGTTTTAATAGTACGGTTTTAAACGCCGAATGCTGATGAAACAATCAAAACCAAAAGGCCCAATATTAGTGAAGAACAACAAACACTAGGCTGCGTATGTTCTGCAGTCTAATGTAATTTTTATTCCACAGAATTAATTCTGTGTTTTTATGGCAAATATTAGGCCTATTGGTTATTACTGCCTACTTTCGACGTTTAAAACTGTAATAAAATAACATTTAGAGAGATTTCAATCAACGATCATATCCAGCTTAGGTGATGAGGTATGTTATTGAAGAACTTTTGGGCAGAAAAATGTTGAGGGCCAAAAATATATTTAAACTGCTACTTTCATACGACTCTAATTTTAAATCCGTAATCGCCTAATTAAGAGGAATACGATAAATAATGTCTCGAGTTTAATGTTATTTTATAACTAATATTATGTATAGTTTTCCCAGTTCACCTTAGAAGAAGAAAGATCTGCCCCATCATTCTTTGTTTAAGTTTACTCTGAATCTTTTTCAGGAACTATGGGTCAAGTTCACCGACTTTGCCTGGAAAGATGGTTAGGAAGTAGAAGTGATACCACATGTGAACTTTGCAATTTTCAATTTTGTTTGTATAGAAAACCAAAGGTATTTTTATAACTATAAAATCAAATATAACAAACATCGGCCAGTGTCTTATTTTAAATTCGTGATAAAATTTACCTGAACATTGCATACAATCGATGAAAACACATATAACAAAGTTTCAATGACCATTAAAGACCTTACTTTTATTCAGCAATTGCTAACTGTCTTGGCGTTCAATGAACCACTTGAACAATATTTACGATGGTAAAACACATGTAGGATCAAAATTGTTGGTAAATCACATTAAAAAATCTCGACCTTTTGGACAGGTGTTCTAATTTTGTCCCTGATGAAAATAGGCCCACCTGTCTAAAGCGCAAAGGATTTACTTCATTATTATTATTTTTAATGTTGAAAACCGTACATACAGTATTCAACTATTCTATGTATTCCTCTATTTATGTATATTTTGATCATAATATATTATCTTGTGTCTCCCCCATTTACATATTCCTGGATGAATATTAGGGTTTCTGTGAGTGGTTTAATCAGCCAGAGAATATCATCGATCGAAGAAACCTCATTGGTGATCTAATTTGTTTCCTCCTCTTAACTCCATTAGCAACAGTTAGTGGATGGTTGTGTATAGAGGGTGCCATATATTACAATTTCAACAGTACTTCATCTTGGGAATCTGTGGGTTTAATAGCTTTGACAGTCTTTCTAGTCATTGTTTATTTCATTTGGATTGCAGTCTCTCTCAGGTAAGAAAACCTTATTATCATATTGTTAGACAATCATATGTGGATTTTATTGTGTGTGTTTATCATAATGTATATATCCTTATGGCATATCATTAGCTAGTCAAACATTAATAATTGTGGTTTCTCTTTTAAATATTTATCACTGGGATATTCACCTACCTCAGACTCAGTCTAACGATTTTTATTTATATTGTTACGTCTCCGTTTGTTAAGTAACTTTCCGTAACTTCGTTCCGACGAAACTTTAACGACACAAGTCCTTACTTAATAAAACTGGTTTATTCTTTCCAAATAG